GTTACGCCTTACATAAAGAAGTTAAATTAGTAATACTATGGACATTTAGCAGACGGTGGAAAGATCAAAGGATCACACGATTGAAGAGTTGAATTTTTTCCACGGATTGTATTCTGCATTTAATAATGTAAACACACGTCTAATGAAATTAACTTTTTCCCAGTGTTTTTATTAAATTTTTATGTTCTTTTCACTGTTATTTCAGACCCAGCATTGATGAATTTGTGTTGGATGTTAGTAAACTGCATATTGTGGCTGCCGAAGAGTGTAAGTAATTTGATCTGCCTTGCATACTGTTTGTTTAGCTTTGATTAAAATGTCAGTGTGTGTTTTCACTGAACTGTTTTTTTTTTTTTAACAGTCTTGCTAAGGAAGGTTCGAGATAGCACGTGATTACTGTACTTTGATAGTTTAACATTGACCAAGTTCTCTCTTTTTTTTTTTTCATTGCAAAATTTTACATACAAAAAATTATCACAGCTGCAGCTAATTTCAGTAGTCACCTATTTTATGTGTGGCAAATAACAGTGAAGGCACAGTCCCTGTCGCTATCACACACCACTGTGTTATGAAAGCCAAAAAAAAAAACGTGTGATGAATTGTAAACTTTTGTGGTAATTACTTGGCTGTCTTGAACTTCCATTGATGTAACGTAGAGTGTGACTAGAGAAGACAATGTTGTATTGTTGATTAAAATGGAAAGGATTCATTTGTATCCTTCACTATATGTTGATGTAACTGTAGCAGTGCACCTATCAAGATACAGTGGAGTTTGTTAGACACTAGTTAAATGTGGTGTTTGTGTCCATATTTAAATCCACTGTGGGAAAACATTATTTTGAAAACTACATTTGTTCATTTTCTGTTAGTTGACAAGCAGCAGTTGAAAGAACAAGGAAAGTCCTTGGATTTAGCTTCTACAGTTCCATTCTTGAAACTTCTGAAGCACTCAGAAGCAAAAGTACGAAAAAGTAAGTTTTAGTGTTTGCTTTCTCATATTCTTTAAATAATAAAAAGTGCAGATATTTCTGTTATGTTTACTTTGTGAAATATGTCTGTCGCTTGCTTCTTGTTCAAAGAAATGTGTGCATTTTGGAAATTAACAATTTTATGACCAGTACTTGTTAACTTCTGCCTTCGTTTTGCTGAGGCATAGGTAAAGCAAAGAATAGCTGTACTTCTTATTAGTGTTCAGTTTATATGCTTAGGTCAGGCCGTCAGCTGGGCTGCCTCTTTGAAATCACATTTCAGTTGCAGGTCCTCCATGGTTCCTCATAACTTGCTCTGCAATCACTGCTTTTGAGGCCATGTTTCTCTTCATGGGTGTCAGTATAGTGGGAAGACCTGCAGAATGTACTCAGATGTTTGTGGTTCTATGTGACATGCACACTGTGTGGGGACTGCAGTCTTTATTTTATGCATGTGGTAGCTGAGCCATGGTGGCGTGGAGAAAATGGTGATGGGGAGTACAGTTTCAGGAAGATGAGGCAGAAGCAGAACAATGCGAAGGTGGATACAGGACATTAAAGATGCATTGGCATCACATAGCACTGGAGAATTAATTAAAGAAAGAGAGACTTTAGGGCATGACCGTGATGAGAGGGACTTTCTGTAGAGAACCTGATTTATTGGTAGTTGAACCTGAAATAAGAATACAGTCATTTGCCAAATATGCTGGAAGAGACAGTTGGGGAGAGTTGGACTGGGCTGTCTGCGTCATCCAGTCGAAAACCATAGCTGCAAAATCCAGTCAGTCATTGTTAAGTACCAAAAAAAAAAAATAACTTATTCAGCTTAGATGAAAGCAGGCACTTTGCCTATAATATGATGTTAAGAAATGATTGAACAAACAAATGAGGAAACTTTATTTTCAAAGGCAAACTGAAAAGATTTTTATAAATGGTTTACCTTTTTTTTTTCACCTGCAAATAATCTCCAATCTTGGTATCTAAAGTGGCCAGAATCTTGACTGAAGTGAGATTGACAGTTCCAATGGTAGGTGTACTTCAAGGCAGTGATAAGCATATCCAAAACAATTGTAAGATACTGTAAATAATTGCTGAAGATAGGACTGCAATATTTCTCCATATCTTTTTAATATATTTATGCTGGAAGTATGAGAAATCCAGTTTGTGAAGAGGCCTGTAACAGCTTCAATCCACTCAAAATTAGAGGTAGACTTATCCCAGAAAGGTGTGCAGACAACCCAGTTATTTTTCCACAGTGTACAAGGCTTAGACAAATTAATTTTAACTGTCATAAAGGATCAGTGAAGAAGAGAATCGATTTCAACATCTGAAGGAAAAAACTAAAATAATGTCAGGATCAGTGAAGAAGAGAATCGATTTCAACATCTGAAGAAAAAACTAAAATAATGTCCACAGTGAACACAGCACACCAACCACATATTAAAATTGGCAATGAAGAGATTGAAAATGTCACAGATTTGGAAGATTTTGGCATAATAATGAGCAACAACAGCGACTCAACAAAGGGAGGCCAGACAGCATGAAGAACCTTTGACACAGCACCTGCAAGCAAGTTAAATCAAACATATTGAGATCATATATCTTTACCATGGCAACTTATAAATGTTAGTCATGGACTCTCACCAAAGTCTTCGAAGAAGAAAATCTGAGCTTCTGAGCTGAATAAAATACCGCAGAAAATCTATAGAATACCATGGACCAAGGAGAAGAAAAACATCAACATCCGGCATGGTCTCAACATCTGCGAGAACTGGCTAAGAAGTAGCATCCTTCCCCGAAAGCTGAAGTATTTTGACATGTCAAGCGTCGTGGTGATCTGGAGAGATTGGTGAATGAGTGTGCAGTTTCCAGAAATCAAAGAAGAAGCCAACCTCCGCGAAGGTGGAAACAGGACATTGAAGATGCATTAGCTGTGATTACACCCAGGGCTGGAGAATTGGCTAGAGAAAGAGAGACTATGTCAGGCATGCCATGAAGAAAGTGACGTTCTGTAAAGGACATATTGATTGAGTTGAAAGGAGGGTCTACGTGGCAAAATTGTCAAGCCGTTTGCCTCACCCTCAAAGGCCGTATGTTAATTTCACAGCTTTGGTGTTCGAGTGCAGTTTTTCTGGTAACTTATGGGGATTGTTGCCAGAGTTACGGTGTTCATGATTATGTGACCCTATCAACAGGTGGCTTGCTGATCTGTGGAAAGAGACCGAGCGATGTGGGATCAAACCTGATGCAATGAAATTAATCCTCTTAACTTTAACTAACTAACTAACTTCTATTTGGTAAGATTCATGTTTTTTTGGTGTGTCTTTATTATATGTTGGTGTAAACTCAGTGGTATTGCACTGGATGAGATACTGCCAGATATGTCTGGTACTAAATCGTGAAATTATTTGGTGTGTCTTCATCATTTACATTATTTTATTTATAAGAATATTTTTAAAATGCTGGTGCTGATGAAATGGGCGATGGCATTGTTTGCTCCATTATCATATCTGAATTTTAAAATGACTGATTATTCATTATTCTTCCTGTTGTTTTAATAAGGTTCCTTGCATAGTCTTGCTAAAGTGTTTTTGCTTCTGGATTTGACCCATCCTGAGGTCAAGTCTATGATCAGTTCCTGCATGGAGTTGTTGGATGACCCAAATAAAGATGTACGAATTGAGTGCTGGTAAGTGTTAGCTGATTGAACAAGGTACTGGAATCTGCAGTGTAATTAATTACAGTTGTATAGTAGAACTTTACCTGTATAGGTAAGGACGCCTCATTTTGGGCGAGAAAGTAGTTCCCCTCCTCCTTAACAAGTACATCATTAAAGGAGACTAATTACTGGTTTTGGGCAGACGTAGTGTTGTAAGGGCTAGAAGCTTACCTCCGACCTAAAAGTCTTGGGTTCACATCCATATCAAGTTTGATTTTATCTGTAAAAAAAAAATAACCTTGGCTCATGAATGAACAAACTTTATTTCGAAAGGGTCACGCAGGCTCGTCTTACATTAAAATGGTAGCAAGGGCTCAAACCCAGGACCTTCTGCATGTTAGGTTTATGGGATACCCGATAGACTATGAAATGACGTGTGCTCACAATCAGCCTAGCCTAAAATGGGCAGCAGGTTACCTGATCACCCAGCTGATGCTCTTTGGTTTATAAAAATGCGAGTCTAACCTCAAATGCCTCATGCACCTCTGGTGTAAACAGGAACCATCACTTTTCTCTTGGGAGAGGGAAATGGGTAAAATTGATGATTTAAATATTTTGAGAACCAGTACTTTTTTCCTTGTGAGGGAGAAATGGGTAAAATTGATAATCTATTTTGAGAACCATTACTTTTTCCTTGGGAGAGAGAGAAGTGGGTAAAATTGATAATCTAAATATTTTGAGAACCATTACTTTTTCTTGTGAGAGAGAAATGGGTAAAATTGATAATCTAAATATTTTGAGAACCATTACTTTTTTCTTGGGAGAAAGAAATGGGTAAAATTGATAATCTAAATATTTTGAGAACCATTACTTTTTTATTATTCTTCATGTTTACCAGCTGTAAACTTCAGTGGAAAGTTCCGGTTGTTCATCCACTTCTGGACTTTAGTCTTGTCCCAGAACCTTAGTTTTCTTTTTTTTTTTTAACGCATCTGGCCTACTTATATCTGTCTAAGCTTTCTGAGCCTTTGAAAACTAAATATTGGATAGACCGTTGTAAGTCCTAGTCCTGGGTAAAATTGATAATCTAAATATTTTGAGAACCATTACTTTTTTCTTGGGAGAAAGAAATGGGTAAAATTGATAATCTAAATATTTTGAGAACCATTACTTTTTTCTTGGGAGAGAGAAATGGGTAAAATTGATAATCTAAATATTTTGAGAACCATTACTTTTTTCTTTGGAGAGAGAGAAATGGGTAAAATTGATAATCTAAATATTTTGAGTAAGGTTAAGGCATAAATGAAAAAAAAAAGTTGTGTGTCATTTTTGGAACAGAAATTTCCAGTTTATTTTTGTTATTTTCTGCGCAGCTCTTTGATTCCAAACATAGTTAGTGAGCAAGCTGGGAAACGCAATGCTACGGCCACAGATCATTTCATCTGGCAGACACTGGAGTCAGTGTGCATGAAAAGACACCATGAAAATACAGCCATCAATGAAACAGTAGTGATGTCTGTTGGACAATTTGGGAGGTAAGAAAATGATTATTACTATTTAAAATTCACTAACTGCTGATCTAGTAGTTTTTGTGTGTGTTACTCATCCTCAATCTCCCACCCCTTTCCCCTCCATGCTCCCCCTACTCTACTTCTCCCCCATCTTTCTAATGTAGCATAAACCCTCAAGCAACTCACACCAAGTCATCCTTTTATTTTTGCCATTCTGTGTATGTAGCTCAGTCCACGTCTTCCACATCCATTTAATTTCACTCTGTAAATCCATTGAGTTGAGTTGAGTTGAGTCAAGAATTAACATCACGGCACTCGGGGCATTCCCATGCATGCTCCGTCCTTATCTTCAGCAGCCAGTGCAGAGTTCCAATACTGATAATACTGGTCACAATCTGGTTATATGTCCGTCTTGCCTTTCCTTTGAGTGAAGTGAGCAGGCCAGACCCTCTGGTTACACCCAGATGCCTCGTTCTCTCCAGGCCATAATAATCTTCTATCTCTACTGATTCCCTTGCTTGTTCCCAAAGGGCCTTGACCACATCTGCCTTGTTCTGTAAATCCATTCTGCACTGTTTATGTTTTGTTAGTCTATCTTTACACCTTTGATCCTGTGTTCCAGAGGAAAGACATTATAGTTATATTGTTATCAGGTTTATCAATGTGGGTTTATTTTAGTAGAAATGACATCTGGTGTGGCATGCTAATGTTTTTGTGTGCAAATACTTCTTATTCCTATCTGGATTCCGGGTCCCTCTTTTGGGGATAGAAAAGAATAGACCCACTATCCCACTGGCAAGCATGTAAAAGGTGAGTAATTAATTAGATGCTCCAGAAAAGCCACCAACTAAACCTTCAGAAACAGAGTTAGAAATTATATTATCAGACAGACTGTGGGAACAACACCATAGGGCAGTTTTATTGAAAAACAGAAGATCAAATAGATCATCTAGTTAACAAAATAAAAAGGCAACCAGAACCACTGCCAGTGCAGGCGCTACACCTGAAATGTGGAATCAAGAGGTCGCCCCAGGAGAACATGGATTGATGACATTAAAGAGCTTCTGCGTTGACGCAAAGTGACAGTAACTATTGCTGCCCATCTAACAATGGATCGCCCAATTCTTAATGACAGAAGTAGAAATTGATGATGATTAATAATCCGCATTATGGCGGATATTCATAATTGACCTGAACTTTCTGGTCTACCCAGTCTAAAATGGGTACCAAGAAATGAATTAGGTAGGTAGGTAAGTTGTACCCCACCAGGACATCACACAAACGATAAACACTGGGTGACACAAAGTGCCACCATGTGGATGAGGATCACCCGTGGAGAGGTCCCGGAAACCCCGTTCAGCCGATGCTGTACACATCACCCACCACCTGCCCATTGGACTATAAAAATATAGATTTAGCACTATATACTTGATAAGCCATTGGCATTAAAAAAGAAGAGTCCGTCACTTTTTCCCCATTTTCATAAATGTGCTTGGGAATAAAATGTTATTACACAAGTAAAAGGTTATGTGATGCATTGTATGCCCAGTTCTAGGCAATTATTTCATTACTGTCTATCCCTGAGATTTTGTACCCTAGAGCAACAGTTTTTAAAAGCAACCACACATAGGGATATCATGTCATACTGCATGAACAATATTCAGAAAATCACACAGTTGGCAGTCTCTGCTCTGAGTGGGTAGACAGTATTCAAAAGTCATGCTTAACCTCCCTTATCTGGATCTATGCACCTGGGCATACCGAAGTGAAACATAATGAAGGAACAGACCAGCTCTCAGATGTGCATCTCTGTATGTGGGAAGATACATGAGCAGAGAATAAATCAGCAACAGTATATAGCGCTAACACAATTACATGATGGCTTTTATCTATCTTGAGAAAGACTGCCTTGTTTCTTTTGAATTATTATGAGCCCTGGTATCTATAAATGTCTATTAGGCTAGTGGATGGCCAGCTGCTGGGATCTGTCATTGTTTGCCTTCTTCAAAATCACATCAGTCAACAACCTGTTGCAAAGGCACTGGCTTATGAAGAGGTAAGACATTTTTGTAACAGAGTAGACAAAATAATAGATTTGCACAATTTACCAACTGGCAAATTTTCATTGAACTTCCTCAGTACATAGTACAGTAACAGTTAAATAAAATGAAGCAAATAAATGAATCTTATATAACCGAAACACAAAATCAGCCACTGTCAAAAGTAACTGCCTGTTTTTCCCCCGGAAGCCTAACCTAGACAGCTAATGCCTACAGAAGTTGAATGTGTTGGTCCAAAGGTGCAAATATTGCAGCTATACCGAAAACAAACAGTTACAACTCTTCAGATATACACAGAAGAAGAAGAAGAAAAAGAAACAAATTAGGACAGAAGTCTTCTTCTTATTCTCCATGTTTACCAGCTGTAAACTCCAGTGGAAAGTTCCGGCTGTTCATCCACCTCAGGACTTTAGTCTTGTTCCAGAACCTGAGTTTTCTGTGCATGTCTTTTTTTTTTTTTCAACGGAGCTGGCCTATTTATATGTAGAGTGTTGGTTTCCTGCCTCTCAGACAGATGTACTCCGACTTCGAAAGAAACATCCCTAATTAGTCGACTCTTACGACATGCTTGTTAGAGGGCAGTGAGTCTATTCTTGTTTTTTTCCTCAGTGGGGCCCCAGAACCCATACGAGGAGGGACAGAAGTGATTAATAATGGCTGCCTCTAGAAATGTGTTGGAAATGGTTGTTGTATACAGAATTCAGAATGTACTTTCCTTATAAAATATGTTCTTTTTATAGTTTTTCTATTGTGTATTTTTGCAAATGCTAGAAAGTTTAGCTGATAAACATCAGAAATCAGAATTATAGTTAAAAAATAAAATAAGGAAAGGAAAGAAACTTGTTAATGCTACTGGCACATCAGGAATATGGTACAAAACCCATATTTTTGTAGACTGGCACATAGTAGGTTATATGGTCAGCATCATACTGGCCATCTTTACTTCTTAAGACAGTACTACTAGAATTGGAACTTTGCACTGGCTGCTAAAGATGGGAACAAAGTGCTTATGGATTATCCATAGTGCTGTGATGTTGTTCTTAACTCATCTTCTTAGGACACAAATCCATCTCAATATCTGTATTATTCCTGCCTTAGTTACATCTTGATATATTAGATGCCAGCCACAGAATCTACTCATCAGTGAATAATAATAGAGAATGTCATTAAGGATTCTATCATCTTTCTTTCTTTTAAATTTGTCTAAGCCATCTGAACCTTTGAAAACTAAGTATTGGATAGACTATTGTAAGTCCTAGTCTTTCCAGTTTCTCAGTGTTTGTGATCTTGCCTTTCCACCTGTATGGTGTAGCATTTGATAGATAAAAAGAATCAGCATTTTCAAAGTGCAGTAAAAAGACTTAAAAGCTACTAGGCTTACTCAGAAAACTAGCAGCATGTTGTTTGTACAATATGTATGGTAGAAACACCTTAGTGGTCGGAAACGGAAAACAGCAGGCTGAAGTAGCTACTGACCAGGCACAATTTTAGATTAGGAAAGTTACCCAGCAAACAATCCCTCCTCCCCCACCCACTCACACACGCGCGCGCACACACCACACACACACGCACGTACACACACCACACACACACACACACAAGTGCATATATTATATACACACATGCTATCTCTCTCTGACACACACATAGTATGTTATAGCATGTGCTTCTAAGTATCTACATTTGGATCCTTGCCAGCACTATGGAAATAGTGCACTGTGACGAGATTCTCACTTGCGTTATCTATATGAGGAAACTAGGACGCTTACAGAGACATCTATGTGCAATAAAAAGTGATTCTTTACAAACCAAACATTACATTGTAAAATTAATTAGTAGATGAAAATTTACAATTTCTTTTAAATAGTTCTGACTCTAATTAACAATTTGTATGTAAAAAAAAAACAGTGATTAATAATTATAGCCAAGCTTTTTTTTTTTAATTGTTTCAGCAACAAAAAATAGCAAGTACTCACCACAAAATATCTTTAGAAAAAATGGCTAAAAAGGTGCCATTACTGTTAACAAAAAAAAAAAAAATAATAAAACTCTGGCCAAAGATTTCCTCCTGAGGGAATGTGCATTTATTTGCAGCATTTTTTTTTTTTAAACTATAGCTAGTGGAAACGAGGACATGGAAAGTTTGTTATAGTTGATCCTCTACTTTCTGTTATAACAGTAATCATAGTCATATATTTTATTGTTTTCTCAAAACTTTTAGCTGCAAAACATGGCAAGTTTCAAGGGAGAATCTCTACAGCAAATATACACACGGTTCAAACCAAGTATAATGAAGGTAATATGTACTTAAAGCAGTTTAGAATTCCCAGTTAATGAGTTATGAATAAATTAACAGTAAATGGTCTTTTTTAGTTTTTCTTGCATTTTATATTAATTATGAACTAAGCCTAACAATACTCTTACGGAGAGGAATAATTCTTTTTCATTCTTAGTCTGAGTGACATAATTGTGTTGTGCCTGTTTACAGCAAAGCTGCAGTATTTTCACCTGTGGACTGACACGTCCTACTTCTGTTTTCTTAGTTAACCTTACTGATTAGTTTCAGGGGTCATTGTTGGACTTTTCATAGTTTCATTTGTGCAGTGACTTTGTCATCACCTGATCCACAGCCATTGCCCCCCAGAGGACCCATTCACAGCAGCTGCATGCAGACTAGTGGGCCATCAAGCGAAGGCAGGGGCAGAACATGGACATTCTCATTGATACTTGGTCCTTTGGTATTGGGCTCACCCATAAAGTCCTCGTATCCTGCATCCTGCACATGACTGCTTAACCTCACATCCATATATTGAGCTTCCTATCATCGCATGTGCATCATCGCAAAATACGATGTCTTGAACGTCTTCAGTCCATCTTTTACTTTTGCATATTCTTGCTGTCACATCAGATTTCCTTAGGCCTGTTTTGGTAGTTGTGGATGCATTCTAATGTGATGATTAAACCATCTTATCTTTTAAAAGCCTACTAATGGATAAATAACAATAAAATTAGCACAACAGTAAAATGTAGGCTTGTTTCAATGCTAGCAGCTGACAAAATAAAATGTTTAATTCAAGTGACTGCTTAGATGGAATAGTTGAAATATGTTTTTGGTTTGGTCATGCTAGTGTGTTGGGAAATGAGCGGGCAGATAGAATGGCCGGTTCTGCACCACTTGGTGGTGAACTGATGTATGACAAGCTGGATGTTGTGAAGGCCCTTTGGCAGTGAGTGAGCAGTGCCGAGGAAGAGATAGATCATTACGGTCTGAGGAGAACGGCACTGCGAGGAGTTACAAGGTGATCTGGCCGTTGCTTGACACTCAGGGCAAAGGCGAGACGGATATATAAGCAGACAGATACTGGTACCATCAGAATTTTAACTCTTTGCTTGCTGCTGAAGATGGGAACGGAGCGCTTATGTGGGTGTCCCGAATGCTGTGATGTCGATTCTCAATTCAACATTCAATATGTTTTTGGTTGTTCTGTTTGTTATAAAAATCCCTTCAGAAAGAAATGTATGTTGAGATATCTATGTTATACTATCTCTGTTGTTTATTTTTCAGTTTACAGTGGTGGCTCTTTACTCAGTTCAGCAAGCCAACGATGTATATCATGCCAAAAACATCCTTGTCATGATAGCAAAAACACTTGCATTTGATGATTTGAAAGCTTTCTTGCAGGTAGCAATGCATTTAACATATTTATTCATTTAGTTAGGTAGCAATGCATTTAACATATTTATTCATTTAGTTAAAAGAACAAGTTGCGTATCCTTTAGATGACTTTGCAAACCAACCCCAGCATTTGTTGGCTTTTGTAGTTTTACTGGGCAATTTTATGGTTAGTATTTGCCATTTCTTTTGAACAGTTGGCTCTCAACCCTACTGTCAAAATCAATGCAGAGTCTGAAGCTGGAATTGAATCAGGTATTTTGGAATTACAAAACAATGTTTACAGTGCCTGAATCACAGATGCCAATTAAGTTGAAATCATGATGTGCCATGAGAAGTCCTCATAAATTTACAATGTTACTCATTGGAACTCATAGATACAGAAGAAAAAAGTAAAAACAAGAGAACTCATAGAAAAATGAAGGAAGCAGGAGACAATGCATTGATGGTCTTTACCTGTATTGGGCTGCAGGTTACACCTGGCTAGTGTAGCAGTTATGTGAGGCTTAATTAGGACTTTCTTAGAGGTTGAACAGGTATATGTGGGATCTGCCTTGTTGGTCTGCTGTCAAGATTGAGATCTTTTAAACTCAGGATGGATTGTACGGTGAACCTTAAGGTAGCAGCCTGTGGGGGCAAACAAATGGGCCGAAAACAATGTGATGATCAAGTGAAATGCCATCTACACAATCACTACAGTTTTGGGTGGTATTCTTTCTCCTATTGTGCTGTATGTACTTATATCCTCTTCAAGTCTGTCTGTTTGCATCACATGTCCAGAGAGTCTTGACTGTCATCTAATATTTCAGATACATTTTCAGTGTTCACCTACTTTTTTTTTAACAAGATTGGCGTACTTGTTTTCCATCATATTTTTTGCAGAAGTGATATCACTATGCCATCAGATGTTGGTGTATTTGTAGTTTATTCTAAGAAAGATGAAGTAAAACCTTTTATGAATGCAGCACTGTTTGCTAGAAGTAAATTCTTTTATTTAGCAGCATTTGTGTAGCAAGGATGCACAGTTTGAACTATTGACTTTCTGTTCTACTAATGCAGGGTAGTGAGAAACACATGCTGCCTTTCCTGGTGAGTAAAGCATCCCCAGAGGCCACTAAGCTCATCAAGCTGATTTCAAGTCTACAGTTTACAGACACTGTAAGAATCTTTCATATTTTGCAAATAAAAACAATGTTATTGTGGTTAATATAGCTTTCTTAATGAATGAAATAAGACTGAAAATATTAAATTGTACTATTCACTGGCTTTGAAATTCTGAAGATAGGCTTTAGACAATAGTACCATATCACATATATTTTTTCTCTAAACTTTACAGATGCCTTGCTCTATTTATCATGAAATAGAAATGAGCCAATTTATTTTAATTGCATGACAACAGATTAAGAGAAGTAATAAGATTTTAAAAATATGTCGACCAAAAAGAATGCTTTTCAAAATTATGGCAGTAGATCATTTTGGAATTTCATTAGTGCATTATGAAAAGAGAAAACTGAAAAATAGTATACCCTCCTTCTCCCCCATCACTGCTGCAAAAGATCTTCTGTGATTGAAAAAGAAAAGTTTAGCAAATATAGTTTTGACACAAGGGGCAGTTGAATGCAAAGAGAGAGGGAGGGAGGGAGGGAGGGAGGGAGGGAGAGAGAGAGAGAGAGAGAGAGAGAGAGAGAGAGAGAGAGAGAGAGAGAGAGAGAGAAGAGAGAGAGAGAGAGAGAGGAAAGGAGGAAGAGAGAGACGGGGGGAGGGTTGCGGAGGAGGGAGGAGGAGAGAGAGAGAGAGGGGAAGGAGGAGAGAGAGATGTTGGACAGTTTTTTGTCATCATGGACAAGACTGGTGTTACATGATAAAGAAGGCGGTGGACGGTCATGATTACCAACACTACATTACGCGGATTACAACAAGTTTTTGAAGAAACCTGGCACAGGTACTTATCGCCAGATTCTTCTGTCAATAGACTAACTGATCGATCAAAAGTTATGTTTACTTTGATCTTGGCATTATGATATAAACTTATACTTACAAATTTTGTTTTGTTTTTGTTTTTGGCAGTCATGGCGTTCAATTTTGATACAGAATACAAAGTATATTTTTTCTTACCTTGTGAGATGTTGCCAGAAGGAAGACATGGAAAGAGCATTAATGTACATGCAGGTTTGTCAGTTAGAAACAGCGGCATGCTTTATGTATTGTGTTTGTTTGATCACGTTTCCTTATATCACACTTTCATTCACAAAGTGTTGTGTATGATTATTGTCTTTTCTCCTTGAATCTTGATCATCACTTGTGTTCCTTTTTTTTTTTTTTTTTTTTTTACATTTTGTCTCAGCTTACTCAATAAAACTGGCTTCTCAAGTAGTCACATTCACTGCGTATTTATCCTCTTTATAACAACCCACCACCTCCCCAACAAGCATGTTGGAAGAGTCAAATGAGTGGCTTCCCTCGAAGTCAGAGCCTGAGAGGCAGGGAACCAACAGTCCGCAAACAAATAAGCCAGATTTGCATGCAAAACTTCTTAGGTCACAGACAAGACCAGAGTCCAGAAAAGGATGAAGAACCAAAACTTTGCAGGAGTTTACAGCCAGTGAATGCAAAGAAAAAATCCAAACCATCACTTTAAGTGTTACATTTTTTACACTTTGAGCATGTTCAAGAAATCTTGCTTCTCAAATCTGTATTAATCATCTTTGTAAGTAATGCTGGCTGTACGTTATTAGATCTAAGAGGAGGAAAGAATAGTAACATTGTAGCTCATTATCATCATCATCACCATCAGGTGCCTTGCTGACTGGCGTGGGCGATCATGCCTCTCCATAATCTGCGATCTCCTGCAGCATGTATCAGTTCGTGTGCCGACACACCTCCATGCCATGCAACAAGACTGTCAAGCATCATTATACCTGTGTTATAATATGGGTCAGCAGGGTTTAGATTAGACTGTTAGAAAAATAACTTTAGCCACAAAATTCCAACCAATCAAGAGCGTTACAGTCATAACTTTACAAATGCTTGGTTTCAGTTTGTTGAGATGAAAGAAGAAGCATTTGTGATTTGTCAGTTATTATTCTCCTCCTCTTACCCCTTTCTCCCCCATTGCTGCTGCAAAAGATCTTCTGTGACTGAAAGAGAACAGTTAAGCAAATATTATATAAAAAAATATACACTTAGTGATAATATTGGCTGTTTAATAAACAATTGCTTGCAGATTTATAGCAATATGAAGTCAGCAATTTATGTTTTTTTTAGAAGCATTATATTCAGGTTTACAAATATCTTCTTTCTAGGCTGAAACAGATTTTAGCCTTGGAAATCTTCTACTTCTGGACTTCCAGCGAGTTCATAATGAGCTTCTGCTGCATTTGTCAACACACTATCAACAGGTACACATTTATTATCTTTGAGAGTAAACTATGTTTTTACTTGACCAATCAAGACATTCGTTACTGCTTGTATTCACCATTCTTTTAGGGCAGTGTAGGACAAAGAGTGAGGTCTTGAGCCTGAGGATTTAGAGCCGCATGGCTAGTGTTGTTGCAATGAACTTTGCAGGTTAGGATGTCCCCCCCCTCCCCCCCCCCCCCCCCCCCCCCCCCCCCCCCCCCCCC